AATGGTAAAACAGCTGTCAAAACAACAATAATGTAAGCAGTTTCAAGATTACAAAAAACATGTAGCAGATATTTTTTATTAATATTATATCCACGTTAAACCCGAATATTTACAGATTTCACTTAAGTTATCATTTACTGTACATAAAACGATAACTAGAATTCATCATAACAGAACGTTTGATGATTTTGTTCCCTTATCTCGCAATCGACCGAGTCCTCAAATGTATATTCCGTCATTCCAGCATCTAAAGAATTCTGGGTAATATTTTTTAAAAGTTTAGATTAGCTTACAACGTCATAAACAATCGAAATTCAAATGATCACTTGACAATAGTTTCATTTTGGGGTAAGAACAATGATAGAATCAAAAGTCCTTTGTACTTATGGACTTAAAAAGACACAACAATGGACCAGAATACTCAACTGTAGAAGGAGACTATTGGAATATTGACTAGAAGTAGGCACAATTATGAACTGTGAGCTTGCATAGGACACAACCATAGACTACGGACTAGATAAGGACAAAACTAAGGACTAGAAGGGGGATACATCTATGGACTATCGACTACAATGAGACACAACTATAGATTAGAATAAGTCAAATCTCTAGACTATGGACTACAATATGACAGAACTATCAGCTATGGACTGGACTACGATATAACTATGTACTATGGACTTGAATGAGACGATAATGGAATACTAGTATAACGGGACACACGTATGGGCTATGGACTTTAATAAGACACAATTATTCACAATGGACAAAAATGAAACGCTTCTGTGGACTATGGACTATCGACTAAAATGAGACACTACTGTGGACTAAGGACTAGAATGAGACACTACTGTGGACTATGGACTATCGACTAAAATGAGACACTACTGTGAACAAAGGACTAGAATGAAAAACACTACTGTGGACTAAAGACTAGAATGAGACACTACTGTGACTAAGGACTAGAATGAGACACTACTGTGGACTATGAACTAGAATGAGACACTACTGTGGACTAAGGACTAGAATGAGACACTACTGTGGACTAAAGACTAGAATCAGAAACTACTGTGACTAAGGACTAGAATGAGACACTACTGTGGACTATGAACTAGAATGAGACACTACTGTGGACTAAGGACTAGAATGAGACACGACTATGAATTTTGGACTAAAACGAGACACAACCATGGACTATGGACTAGAATGAGATACAGCGATAGGGATTATGGACCAGAATAATCTACTATAAACTATGCATTTATTAGAATAGACACAACTATAAACTATGGACTAGACTTAAATACAACTAGGGCTATGGACTAGAATGAGGCACAACTGTGGATTAGAACGAGACTCCACTATGGACTAATGGGTAGAATTAGGGCAAACTATGAAATAGAATGAAACACAACTATGGACCGAAGACTTTTTCTAAACATTATTGCATTAAACTTGAGTAAGGTGGTGAACTTTTACTTGTATATTTATACTGCTAGTAATACCCCAGCTAATGTCATCTCAACAATGACAGTTCATAGTTACTAATGTTGGCTTGTCTAAAAATAATACTGATCGATACAGAAGTCTTTTTCAAGTACTCACAAAAGAATTTTTGCATTTTAATTTCATTTTCAGAAAGAAAAAACAGTGAAAAATGGCAGATTACTATCTTGATTCGTAAGTTCTTTCAGATTTGTTCACAATTTTCCTTCTTTTTCAATTTTTGTCTTTTGTGAAGCGTATTGTTAAATCGACGGGTGTCACACGTGTAGCAGGGTCTGCTAACCCTTCAGGAGCACATGAGATCAACCCCGGGTTTTGGTGGGTTTCGTGCTGTACGGTCTTTGGTTTTCTAAGTTATGTTTTGTATACTATTTTTTGTCTTTGATAATTTTTCGGTTTTTGCCATAGAATTGTGAGTTTGTTTTCGATTTATGAGTTTGCATGTCCCTTTGGTATCTTTCGCCTCTCTTTTAAATCACTGTGGTTGTTTTTAATGCTATAAGGTTATAAATTCATTTCTACCCTATATTTCGGACTTTTTGGCAAACAGTTGTTGGGCCTGTTTCCAATATGTACAACATTTATATATTGGAAATATGATACACCCAAATGTTGTCAATTTTAAATGGATGAGTTTCAATGGATAAATACACTAGTCATACTGAACATTTTTAATTACAGGCTATCGGTACGGCAGATGCAATAGTATATGTGTGATTGTTATATTGAAAAAAATGGTTTGCAATCGTGTACAGATTCTTATCTGTGTTACCAATTGCATTTGCCTAACCGATAGCCGGTAAAAAGGTTTGACCGCAATAATTATATCTAGTTTTTGAACATTTGGTCAGGTAATCAAAAAGTGTATGTTCAAAAGCTGTTTACTGTATATATGTTATAGTCGTTGAAAACTACAAATATGCGATGTTGAAAGCAAGATATCATTTAAATGTCGTAAAACATACATATATAATATTAGAAAATTTTCAACTTTTTTGTATGACTCAGGGGCTCAGAAACTTGGGAAGGAGGAGGTTTACCGAGCCTTTTAACACTTTCGTCTCGAATACAAACATTCGATATTTTTCTGACAATGACCTAATATTGTTTTAATACTGCACCTAAAAATTGATACAGTTATATTATGAAAATCTTGACAACGGATAAAACTAATTTTGTATCCCTAAACGTACCCAAGATTGTGAAGAAAGTGACGGGATATGAAAACAGCATTGTACGAGATACCCCTTTGTTACTGTTTTTGCTTGATAACAGGAAGTGTTCTAACTGCAGAATAAACGATATTTCGACACAATAATCAAGTTAAGTTGAACATTCGAAATCTTATTCCAATATTCCTTTACTATCAAGGCATATTAGTAAAGCGCACAAATGAGCGAGTGTCTCCATAAAGGGTAAGCTGCATACATGTTTTACAGTGTATTAAATACCACAGCTTAGAGGATAATAAAAGTGATGTCTTTGTGTATACATTGTTTATACTTTGGTGTTGAAATGCTAACGAAATTCATCCTTAAAATATCAATGATACTTGCATGTATATTACTTATATATAAGAATACCAGCCCAAGACGTTCAACTCAATTACTATAATAATAAAAGGGAAGTGTTAACTATCTTGTAAACAATTTTGTCGCAAAAGGCTAAAGACAAGCCGGATCAATTTTATGACCATTTTGGCCAATCGGATATAAAACGCAAACTGATAACAACAACTCAGACATCAAAACAACTCGCTTGCACTCAACGGTTACGTTACGTTCATTTTTAACCATGCATTCATTTAATTAATAAATTTGAGGAAAACATTTGATCTTAAACGACGCATATACCTTATTTATTAATCAAGACATACGTTTGAGAAAAATCAGAATTTTGGAAAAACATTTGACTTTTAACGACGCATAGATTTTATTGACGAATCGAACATGTGTTCGTGCAAAATTATCTGATCTTTAATATGTATAAAAGGAACATTTAAAACCTCAGCTGGCTTAAAAATAAGACATTTAAAAGTAATCATACATGTAGTTCCGGTCTTCTGCGATATTCATGCACCAACTCCTCAAATTAGCTTTAAATCTGCTCTCAATTACCAATTCTGGACTCAATTCGAAAGAGCCAATCAAACTGAATAAAAACATCAAAGTTAAAGAAGATTGTGTCTTTTCTTTATCTTTATTTAACGTCCATTGTCAAATATTAGATACATATTCAGGACGGGAACAGATTAAATAATCTATCAATTAGAAAGAGTCTACAATATAGCTCGATTGGTAGGAAATTGGAACAGCCATTAGAAAAGACGTATATTTAAAATTTCGACACAGCCAAACGGGCACTCCCTAGCCATTGGCCAATACAAAGTACAGAAGAAATCAAGATGACCATATTCATTTACCTTATTAAATAAGGAGATACCGTACGGCCTTTAAAAATGAGAAAAACTCATACTGTATAGTCGGCTATAAAAGGCCCGACATGAAAAATATGAAATATTAAATTGAGAAAACTAACGGCATAATTCATAACAAAACAATTAGTTTACCCTATAGATGAATGGTTATGAACAATTTCACTATGCAGATTAATTAGAATGTCAGATGTCGGAAAAAGTACAATGAAAATATTTATATTTTTTTGTCCTATTTCAGATGGGAAGACTACAATAACCAGAATATGTTAGTCGTGTTTATTGGTCTAGTTATGATTATTGTACTTTTGGTATACCTCTGGAGGTGTTGCAAATGTGACGAAGATACACCGGGGACGACAATAACTCCAGCACGGCAACAAATCCCGTTAGTTCCATGCTATGCCCATGAGATTGAACCAGGTCTTGTAGTGCTGCAAAGTCCTGATGGTGAATATTTCAGGATTTTGCAAGAGTATGATGCAACAAAACTCCCAAAACAACCAACCGCGTCGAACGGATTACCTCAGCCCTTACATTTCGTCCCACAATTTACAAGGGCACATTATCAGACGCATGCACAACCAACTGCACCTGTTAATGAACAATCACATCTTATTGATTTTGGAGCAACTGCAAATCCTCCACCTTACTATACGGCAGGCGTACATCCTTGACTTTAGATGTGATCATAATTAGATTTAAGAGTTTTACAATATTGTTGTTTCTTTCCAATTTGCAAAGGTTCATATAATTGATTATAAAGTACACATTTAATTTTGTTATGTATACATTAGACACAAAAATAAGTTATGCATTGATATTGCATTACATTGTGGTATTATTACTTATATCTTCCATGACTTATTTATATTTAATAGGAAATCATACGATGTCGGATTTTATTCTCATCTAAATCATGTAATTTTATTTCACGAATAAAAGGTGATGTGATGTTGGTTTAATATACCGGTACGTCAATGACGCAGCAACCAAACGACCCAACATAACCAAAAGACATATAGAGAACCACAATAGACAAATGACTTAGTAATAAAAAAAGATGTATTAACACAGAAAAAAATATGATTATATAAATCTTTAATGTAGTTTTCTAATCATCATTTTCACTGATTTAAGAGAGTAATGGAAACCATGCCATGCATACCAGTTTATCCCCTCTCCGTATGGACTGGTTCCCGAAAGATAACGCCCGTTCGGGTTAGCATGATGACAATTTAAGTACCACCAGCCTCCGTGGTATATCTTAGCACAATTACCAGAACTCTGGTCGTTGTCTCGATCAAACGTAGTAAACAGCATAGCATCATGAGATGACAACGAGTCTCCTAAAATTAAAATTCATTAACTAATTGATTATAATAAAAAAAAAGAAAATGCATGTGGATTTATTTCCAATGAGACAAAAGACCAAACGACAAAATCAATTTCAGGTCACAATGAGCAAAGATCATACTGTTTAGTAAATTAAAAAAAAATGTGAAATAATTCAAAGAGAAATACAACAGGCTCATTGTACTATCACAATAAACAAGGAACAGTGATGGCAGACACCAACCAACCAACGACAACAATTTGACTACAGGGTCCTGTTCGTGGACAGGCATATAAATAAGTGGATGGTTAAATCAAGAAGTTGTAATGCCAATTAATTATGAAGTTGAAGATAATTTGGTATGTGAATACCAAAAATTCACAAAGGTATTCCCACATATGACTATTATTGTTATTTCACTGTTAAGAACAAACTGATTGTAAGAGTCTTTATCTGTAATGAGTTTTATTCATTTTAAATTTTTTATCAGATTTGTGTGTCCCATATATAATAGAAAAACAAATGATGGGGTATCCATCCATGACACAAAATCAGTACATGCACAGCAAAACAACACACAATAAGCAAAGGAACAGCGTTTTTATTGCTGTTCTTCATCTCATGCATACCTGCATTGCCACTGTATCCAAGCACTGTCATCTCATATTCACTTGTCTCGTCACCAACACTAAATAATGAATATTTAGCGTACTTGGTGTGACCTTCAAAGTCTTCCATGTCAATCCTTAATTCATGTCGGTTATGGACGGTTATTTCATGGATTATATCGTTCCCTGAAAAAAAATAAATGATATATGAAATAAAAGCAAGTAATGGGTAGAATATACTTGCGTATTTAAAAAAAGTGTTGTTATTAAAAAAAACATCACTGCGAAATACTCCATGTGTGTTGATACGGCATAAATCAATCAATCAGACATAGGGGTCGTACATTCCGTCGTCAACATTAAGGTTCAGTTTGTGGTTACATATTTTGTAGACATCAATAACTGACTGTAGACACTATATCCGCGATAATACCGTTTCATTTTTTACTATACGTATCTATATTAAATTCTAGAATACTCTAATTAATTGCAGCAGACTTATGTGTGATCGCAAGGTTGGTCGACTGAACAAAGAGACTTAGCAGACGTAACTGACGTAAACATACTAGCTTGGCCCACTCTAATCTCGGGGGTCCACTTCCTATATACAAGGGGATAGGACGTGCCGCTGGAATAGGTCATATTTTCCAGCTTGAAAATATGTAAATAGGTGGGGAATTCTATCAGAAATATATGATAAGGTCAATACAGATCGCATTACTTGTTATATGAGAAGCCCTATAATTTTTTCACAGCCGAAAGTCTCGCCGATAAACATTATATAAGGAATCTGAGCCTCAGATCTGAACTCCGAGCAAAGGGGATATTTTACCGGCTGTTTTTTTATCCACAAATTTTCCCTCTCTTGACACATTGGTATTCCACTTTTCCAACACACCACACGAAACCCAAAAAATATGGGAAAAGGTTACATTTTTTAACTACGCAATATATGAAAAGGTATACATTTTTAGAATCTAAAAGGGTGGGGGTAACAGAACCAAAGCGGCACCACCTATCAGTTAAGTATTGAAGTGCCCCCCCCCCCCCCCCCCCCCCCCCCCCCCCCCCCCGAGACTATAATACGCATCTTTACTCTGTATAAAAGTCATGAAAACTACAACAGATACTATCTGTATTACAACTAAAAGAAGTATAAACAAGAACCTACCTAACCAATATTCACCGTTTGGGTAACCGAAGCCCTCTTTGTACGTATCCCAATTCTGTTCAAAGTTCACCGATCCGTTTAAACGTCTTTGTATAACCTAACAAAGTAAAAAGGTTATTTATGTTGGCGGTAATATACACAAACAGTCTGTTAAGTCTAGTTAATCATAGAACATATAGGCAACGGTGTCGGGATAGGTGCGGATCCAGGATTTTGAAAAGGGGGGCCTGGCAAGCCAACGTTTGGAATGAAACTTTTATAATGTCTATGCGTTTATCATATATGAAGCTCAATAAGAGGGAAGCTCCCCCCTTCCCCCTTTAAACCCGCTGTTGCAAGTTGGTTTATATAATTTATACTGAACGAATGTATCCGGATAGAAAAGCGATGGAACAAATTTTAAATTTGAGTTATCTCCCGTTTATCGAAAGAAATCACGAGTCTAAATTCAGACTGAAGTATTACATTGATCTCATTGACAGGTCCTGTCAATATAATACTTCCATATGTAATGTATTGAAATTGTTTATCTAAGGTCACTACATTACACCATAGTCAAATCTTTGCTGAAGGAATGTCAAAATGCATATCAGTAGAGTACAAAAGTACACCCGGTTCTTTGTATTTATTTATGCAGAAAACAAGGAAAATATCAAAATTTTCAGACTATAGAAGGCTTAATTTTTAGCTATAAGTTTAAATCTATCTGATGGCAGATCAACGTATCGAGTTTTTCTAATTTGTTTTTGTTTTATATATAGGTTATCTTTTTAAATCGGATCTTCTTCAAGACAAATCAAGAATATAAATTTCCGTAACTGCATTGGTTACGTAAGAAAGACACAATTGGTGCATATTTTACAAATAAAAGGCCATTGATATACAAATGACAACTAATTTGGGGTGATGATTTAAACTATATGTAGCTTCATTTCTATTGAGTACGTCAATCTTTACATTTTATTCTATTGTTATTTTTTTGTGTTTTTTATTTTCTGTTCTTTAATTATCAATACAACGGGCTTTTTTATTTTATTTTCTTCCTAATGATAAAAAGATAAATAGAAGTTTACCGTCCACTTTCCATTTTCGGTATGCATATCACAAAAGACAGAAACAGGTGATATTCCATCTGGGTATATCTTATACACGCCATTAGGATGCTGTCCTTGTATATCAGAACATTCTCTTGGCAAAGTGGATCCTGTTTTGAAAAAAAATATACATAAGCAATCAAAATTCAGCAATTAAAAAAGTCTTCCTATACTTTGTAAATATATATATAATGCTATAAAAGTTGTAGTGTATGGATAATTTAATAAAAACAAAATCTATAAAAAGAACTTTACCAAAAGTATGTCAAACGAAAATATAACAACCAAGATTATTTCTGAATGATTTTGTTTTTCGTAAAACGTATCTTTATCTTTATACTTCCCACTTTCTACTATCAACGAGTATTATAATGGAAACCCGTACTCACAATTCATACCTATCAGAGACATTTACATATGTTTACCAATCCCAGTTTTTACACAGGTTCATGTGTGACAAACTTAAATTGTCGGTGTTTGTACTATCTACATAATGTTAAGGTCATAACAGTCCTTCCTGTGTTGTCGCTAATGTGTCAATTGAATTTTATATATGTGGGAATACCAAATTGGTATTTGTATTTGATAATTGTAGTCATTACTTTTTATAGTACTAAAATATAGATTACCTTAAAGGCGCGCGAAAATTTATTTTCACTTTAGCATACAACTATATCAGCCTGCATTTTGTGATACAGAATATTCATCTTCATCCTGTCTTGTGTAAAGTTATTTATTTTCAGGTTTTACTAAGTCAGGATATTCATTTTGAAAATCCTCCTCCGCCTCAAAAACAAAAGTTCTTAAAATATCAAAACATTCTACGCTTAGCTTTGCGTATGAGTATTGAAGCCAGAGATTTAGTATAACTGACAAATTTACAAACTCAAGCTTAATCCATCTGGGAATTAAAAAAATAACAAGTGCTGAAGCTTTTACCTATAACATGATGATCGCTTTCACATTTCAAACCAAGGTTACAAGTTGTTGTATCGTTACAACATGATGTACAAGACACATGGTGTCCTTCACTTCGACGTCCAAATATTCCACCAATGCTGTGTCTACAAAACTGAAAAAGGAAGGATAAATAAACGACCATGGATTGAAATAATACTAGTTTCGTTGGCGTTAAGAGTCCAAACGCATTTAGGCAAGGTATACGTAATTGGGCGATATTTTCGTTTTTGATGAAATTTTGTATGAATTTAGAAGTGGTAGAACTGCATCGGAATATAAATTTTATACTACGCATATTTTTGACGCCTTCATTCTATACAAGCAATTACATTTTATATTTTAATTGCCTCTAGATCTACCTCTTGAAGTATAAATTCTTTATATAACATTTTATCGATAGTTGGATGCAGTTCAACTTGTTCAAGATGTGTACAATTTTCATCAAAATTTGAAATATCAACTAATTACGTATACTTTGCCTTAATTAAGTGAACAATAACTTCTTGCAAGAATAAACATTGCAATATCAAATACTAAGCTGAGAATGACTTTTATATCTGTTAAAATTATTATATATATTTTGAAAATACCTGCTCATATGCACATCCTAAATCATATAACACTGAACCAGATTCTGTGGTGTGTTTCTGGACAAAACATACCTGAAATAATAGAAAGTGTAAAAAGGCGACTATACGGTATTTGTTTTTCTCATTGTTGAAAGCCGTACGTCGGCCTATAATTGCTTACATCCACTTTATTTGAACTCTGGTGGATAGTTGTCTCATTGGCAATCATACCATATCTCCTAATTTTTATAGTGATATCCATTTGACGTTGAATGATAGAAATGGAATTCTCTATCATAAAAGGTACAAATAAATGGCATAATTGATATGTTTTGAATATTTACATCAGTTTCCATGGCCAAACAAAGTACATGTGCATTGCATCCGTATACTTTTAAGATTTTTTTCCTCACTTATATACTACTCCACTCATATGAACAATGTAGTTTCTCAATTAAAGACAAATAGATTCATAGTAGATGATTTTGTTAATGTAAATTACTTTGATATTCGAGATGTAATTGCATTTCTGCCTCTAGCAACAGTATTTAAAAAACCTGAAATTGAGTACTAATCTTTAGTCGTGAAAAAGCAAGTCAGGTATACATTCAGGTGTGTTTGATATAAAAATAAGAAGGTGTGGTATGATTGCCAATGAGACAACTCTCCACCAGTGACCAAATGACGTAGAAGTTACCAACTATAGGTCACCGTACAGCCGTCAACAATGATCAAAACCCATACCGCATACCGAGATAGTTGACTATCCACAGAGGACACTAATAATATATATAGCTCTCTAAATTAAAAAAAAAGGCGATGGCAAAAAAGCACTGTGCTGTCCCCAATTACATATGTCATCAAGCAGCATTAGTTCAATAAAGCAGCTTACAATTTGTATTTTTAAATGCAGAAATATTCAATTATTTTGTCATTGACTTAAGCATACCTCATCGTTTGTACAAGTTGTTACGTGTTGGCAGTCGGATCGATTTTCTATTCCGGTACATGACAAACAAGTCTGTCCACACACTGAAAAGGTGATGTGATAACTGCAAATAACGAATCGTTTCATTGGCTACTTACTTTACCTCGTAACTATACATTTCAAAAGTAAGAACTACTTCATGAGGCCCAGTAAGATCATACTGACAATAGTACATTTTCGTACAAGTAGTTTCTTCTTTTAAGTGTAACTTTTGAATTATGAAGATATTGAAGCAAACTTTGTATCAAATGATATCTGAAAATGAATGAATAAATAGAATATCTAATAGATATCCAGAAGCGTGCATGTGTACCCTAAAAAGCTGTATGACATACTGTCTGTTCAATGTACAGGAACCTTGTTACTTGGAACAGTGGCAGGTTCACGGGGTAAGTATATATTTGAACTCTAATTAAAAAAAAACATATTTATTAATATATAGAAACAAAGCGTTTTTTGAATCAATGCTATTTTTTTAAACTAATTTTAAAAGGCAAGGTGGGAAAATGCACACGTCGAAGAAGGGCTTACAACATAATAACAAAACAACAAGTGCATTCTACACAGAAAACTACAGATTAAATAACATAGGATCATCACCAAGGTCTCAGATGCCACAGAATGGTATGCTGCACCATCCATGATGTCGCTCATGACAATAAAAAAATACGTGTGACAAGTCAAATTCACTGAGTATTCTTAAAACAGGAAAGAAGAACGGCATTAATGATTCTATAAACAGATCGAGCGACGTATCCTTTTTCATCTCTGACGACGATATTCATTAACGGCCAACCAAGTCATAATCGGCTTGGCGTCTGTAAGTGCAGAGAATTATAGATATTAGTGTCAGGTAAAGGTGATGAAAAAAAATTAATTAAGAATAACGGATGTTCAGTAAAAAAATCATTATTTAAAAGATGCTATAGCTAGTTTATACAGATTTTCAAGGATAAAAATGACAGTCATAAAAATAAGACGATGTGGTATGATTGCCGATGAGAAAACTATGCATGACATTGAAAGACCAAAGGACTTAGATGTTAACACTTCATTTCACCGTAAATGGCTTTCAACAATAACCAAAACCAAAACCGCGTAGTAAACTTTAAAAGACGCGTGATGAGAAACGAGGAACAATACGACAGAGTAAACTGACAGCCATATTTAAGATATAATGACATTAAACGAAAACCACGACAGACGTAAATTATCAAGATCCTGACTTGAGACATTCATGTTTTGTTTTCTTTACATCGTTTGCACCACAATTACATTTGCAAGTTGGACGAATGTAAAAAAACAATCATAATTTTTTTTGTTTATTTGTTTTGTTTTGTTGTAGGTTTAATTTTTTGGGGTGAGAGGAGGGGTGTAGACATTACTCATTGGGTCTGCTCCAGTTACAGAGTACTTAAAGCTATTTAATATTTGTTAATAACTTTTGTAGCAATCTTAATACACTGTATGTGTTGAAATACTGTATAACGTACCTGATATTGCGCTTAGATTGACATGAATTTGCAACATGTTTTATTCTTGTTGATAATAAAACCCAATATGTGTATGTACTCTATAACAGGTTAACCTTATATGAATGAAAATCGATATGGAAATTCATTATATTTTGTTAATATTAAGTGACTTACGGTGCTCATTAATGCAAAATCCGAATATAAAACAAACTAAAAGTATATCGTTCAATGACATTATAGCTTAACAACACGTACAGTTTGATTACGTCAATTACATTTCTTATCTATACATTCATGTACAACATACACTTCGAAAATATTGAGACGACAAAATAAACATTGTTTCGTGATTTCCATGTTATTGATTTTTTCATACAAATATATAGTTCTGTCTCCTAAACTTTGTTCATAAATCCCGATTCATAACCTAAAAGCTAATTCTTAAAACTTCAAAAGGGATGCGGAAGATACCAAAGGGATATTCAAACTCGTAAGTCCAAGATCAACTGACAACGCCATGGCAAAAAAAAAACCCGAAAACAAACGACCAAAAGATAAACCACAGTCTACAAAGCATAACATTGAAAACTAAAGACTGAGCAACACGAACAGCAATGCTATATACGACGTGTTCGAATTCCACTTAACCAATACTAAATGAAGAAAATTACATCTAGATGGTACACTAACTATCATTTTTTTACAATTGAAATTAAATAAGCATTTATTCTTGAGAACTGACTTATTTATTACAAAAGCGTGGACGACAACATTTTTAACTGATTATAAATGAATAATATGTTGAAAGTCTGTGAGATCAAGGTCGCACTGACAGTGTCATACAAACTGACAGTGTCATACAACACTGTGTTTATCAGGTTAACTTATATAATTAAGGCGGGCATGCTCACTTTAAAATAATTCTCTAGATTAAACATAGTTCGCTCACTACTTTCAAAATGATCTATAAGGAAAACGTTGACCAATGGACAATGAAAATTAGGTCAAGGTTAGATGGATCTTTTATAAAATAAGCAAACAAATTCAATCTACTATGACTTTTCTAAAGACCAAGAACGTTAACATAAGAAATTGCCTTGGCTAGGATTTGGCAACTTTGTACGTTACCATAACTCTGGAACGATAATACTGAAAACTGTCAAAATCGAAAAGGCCTACTTGTATTTGTTGTGATATTGTCACTATGAAGAAAACAAATCCTGCGGCTCATTGAAAGCAATTACATTTTAGTAACAATCACAGCCCAGAGATATAAACAAATATCTCTATTTCTAGCAGATCAAATATTTTTTATTGGACAAAGCACATATAATATTTATCACAATGCGTATTTAAAGTGTACAACATATGCAACATGACAAATGATGTAAATAAAACATAACAACACGTGAAAATTAATGATATCCTAGTATAATCACAAGTCAATTTAACCCACCATTTTTATCGGGAAATGCTCGTACCTAGTCAGGAATGTGACAGTTGTTTTCAACAGTTCCATTGATAGATAACGATTGGTTTTGTCTGTTTTTACGGACTTCCCCTTTTTGAATTTGCCTTGGAGTTCGGTACTTTTGTTATTCTTTTTTTTATTGTATAGTACTTCCATTATTTACTTATGGTAGACCAACTGACATTACACAATGAACTTCAAAAGCTTCAAATAAGTACATAAACTAGTCAAAACATTTACTAAATTTTATCATCGGTATAAGGACATCATTCGTAAATATAACTCAACATGCAGACATCTTATACGTTCGGGTATTTCACATCCAATCTTTTATTGTAATATTCTTTACAAAGCACAAAAATGTCAGTATTCACCTCAAAAGCTAACAAAACCTTTAAACAGACTTATTAAGAAGGGATATAGTTACGATACTGTTGTCAGGTCATTAAAGATTGCATATTTTGGCTTTAATATTGATTCACTTATAGGGTCTTTGTATCGGAATTAAACATATTTATTCTAAAACAAGTTGTTGGCATGACACGGGTTATGTTCTTCTCATATATTTTATGATGGTATATTACTAAACCCCTAACAGGAGGGATTGTGCCTGATATTCATATGATGAAGACATAATCTTTCAATCAGTTTAATTGAGGTCTGGAGCTGGCATGTCAGTAACTGCTTGTAGTCTGTTGTTATTTATGTATTATTGTCATTTTGTTTATTTTCTTTTGTTTCCTATTCTGACATCGGACTCGGACTTCTGTTGAAGTGATTTTTACTGTGCGTACTGTTGTACGTTTTTTTTTTCTACATTGGCTAGAGGTATAGGGGGAGGATTGAGATCTCAAAAAACATGTTTAACCCCGCCGCATTTTTGCGC